GGAAATTGATGTCGACTTGACGGTATGCCATTTAAAAGGAAATGTTTAGTTAATCTTTTAACGGTTGCTGTAATCATTCTCAGTGGTGTCGGGAATACAACATTAACAGTATCTTCATCAATTAATTCGATAATTATTCCAATGGATCCATTATAAAGACCATGCTTAAATAAGGCATTATCAAGATACATAACACGGGCACCTTTTTGTAAAATTAAAGTGGCAGGTAGATTTGTATGCTGGTGAAAAATACGATCATTTTCAACCGCGTCCCATTCTTGATTATCAATATAATCAATTGCAGTTGAGATGGCAGGTTCGGGATCTTCTGGTTCTCGAGGCAAGGTTAGACATACTAACTTATTTATCTCATCAGCCATGGAACGGAATCCAACTAAGTGCGTAATATCAATAGGGGTGCGTGAAGATGGTGTTTTTATTTTATGATTAATTGTTTGTAACGTATTATCTGATATGAATCCATCTCGAATTTCATTTAATATATTGTAAAACGTTATATCTTCGTTTTGTCTACGAGGGGTAGTTAAAAAGATTGGAAAAAATTCATACCAAACAGGCGATCGAAACACTTGTGCACCATTTATGGGAGGTAGTTGTGCGAGGTCACCAATCAGTAAAACTCTGATTCCACCGAATGGTAAAGTATTACCATGCAAACGGGCAAAGAGATTACTAATGAATGTCAATAAACTAGCGGATACCATGGATATTTCATCGATTATAATAACTTCAATTTCTCGAAGAAGTTGGCGATTCTCTTGATTGTTTAGGGCTAAACTTACATGATTACTAGAAGATGGTCGTATTTTTAATTGAGAATGAATCATTTTACCGTTAATGTTTTGGGCTGAGACACCTGTTGGGGCCATTAACAAGTATTTTTTACGATGTGATTGGAGGTGATTCACGATTAATGTTATAAGATACGATTTGCCGGTTCCTGCTGAGCCAGTTAGGAAAAAATAGGGATGACCACGTTCACCTACAGATCTCTACGCAGAAGTTAATAGATTGAATGCGGCATATTGGTCTGTAGGTGTTTGCAATAACGAGTATCGAGGAATTGATAGTGGAGAACACATCAAAGTATTGAGCTGATTGTTTATAATAGTCGCAATATCACGCTGCATTGTATGTATTATTTTATCTATTTGTAGACGATAATTATGAGAAAACCTAGTAATTCTCGCTGATGTACTTTGATTAATGTTCTGTATAACTTGATCGAATTGTTCGGGGAATATCGATCGAAAATGATCGCGGTAGATGGGATATGATCCCAATAATTCACTCTCACTTCTACAGGGTAAATGAAGCAGAAGTTGTTGATAAAAAAATGATTCACCATCTTCTATCGAATGATGCTGAAATCGTACTAAAATCGACTTTTTCCTCTTAATTACAAATTTACCCTGTTGATCTATCCAGTAGAGAGTATTTGAATTCGGTTGATCAGATTTTATCTTGTAGTTTTGATGATAATGTGGATATGTAACATTATCAAAGCATGAGTCGGTCGGTCTAAAAAAATACTTGTCAATAGCATCCGCCCAGTACGGATTAGAAGTTTCGCTGTTTAACAGATGAATTGGTTTTACACACTTTGATCGTACATTAGGAGGCGCAGTCGGTAGATATTCCGTGGCAATAGTGGAACGGCAAATAGAGTATCCGATCAAGAGAATCATCAATTCCATTGCGCCAAGACGTCTGGCTAAGACATGAGATCGATAGGTGTCATGTTCAGTCAGCTTAAATAAATCAGAACTTTCCGGTTTGGTAATGTACTTGGTCATATATTTAGCAAAGGATTTAGAAGTAACGTATTGAAAATTACAGTGTCCTTGCCATAATAATAACGTAGGCGCGTGATAAGGAACGACCCATCGATCGGCTTCTTTGGTCCGACAATAAGTATAACGGAAAAAAGTAGGATTAAAGTGAGTACAATCAGAGAGTGGTGCTGGAAACTTTTTCCTGCATTGTTCTCCAGGGAGAGGTGGTCCTCCACATTTATTGGGACAACAGCGATGAATCTGATGATCACGAACTAGTTCATAAAGAACCGGTTCAGTTTGAGGGTCAGGAAGGTCAGCACGAATAACATTGTATTCTATTAGACGCGGAATTGGCATATCAAGATAAGCTATACCATGGGTGTGTATACTGCCGCGATTCTGAAACTCATCTCGTTCAAAATGATGTAACCATTTACCCCATTCGGATAGGTTTAGATTCTTCCATAGCAAATTTCGAACAGAATTTAATCTCTGATAGTAATGAAAATAGGTATGTAAAGGGCGGTTTGTTGGTAACGTACAACGATCATCAGTACGTGATAAAATTTTTATCAAATGTGGCCAAAGACCTTCAGCCATAGTCATCGTATAGAAAATTTGGGGTAGGCCAAAACTTTGAACCATTGCATTTATAGAATATTGACGTTGACGAAAATAAGTATCACCAGTCTGAATATAAGATGGGAGTGTAGTAGTTAACTTTTCATTAATAACCGGTTGATTATTGTAAATGCTTCGATTAATCAGATCCACAATTGTTGGAAGTTGCTGGCGATCGATATTCCGTTGACATAAAATGCGTTGCCTGTTTTGATGGTTTCGTAGCTTTTCCAAATTAATATAAGACCAATACGGCCAATACCAATGAAGACGGAATCGAGGATCTGGACACAATAACCGAAGTTTAACATATTTAGCGTACGTATCGATATGGTTACGACGATTTGTTAATTCTCTAGAGATCTCTCCCCAATGACCATGCCCATCTGGAAAGAGATCAGGAAAAAGGATCGCTTCTAAATTAGGATCATTACATGAAATTGGTAACTCTATATTATCGGGATTTGTAATGAAACCCCCTAATAATCTACTATAATGAAAATCCTCATCGTGAATTTCAGGGCAAAATCATACGGTGGTACTACTATATCAGGATGATGTTGCAGGGGAGTGTTATCGGGTAATGTATTTTCATCATTATTAATTACCTGTGCTGTAGGAAAAATGAGCCGAGGACGGGTAATAATAATTGACGAAAACATCTGATCAAACTGTTTAAAGAATCGATTATTGATCTTTAACCAGCTAGCCGCACGCAGTAAAGATGGATGAAACCAATTACCATTAGGCGCAGAATCTATGATAGCGCCTAAGGTTCCAGCGTAAATTTGTAAGGCACGAACATTTTTCAAGAGACCGAACGCACCAGTAAGATGGCGATAATGTGTAAAACGATTTGTGTTTTCCGCACGCCCGAGAGAGCAACTTAGGTGAATAGGCGAAAGCCAACGTCGACAAAACATCGGAACATCAGCTAGAGCATCTGGAATAGGGGCGAGTGTTGGAGTGTTGTGACGTCTAGCGATAGATATACACGAAGTACACACTGTGATATAATTTTCTTTATTAGGATGTTTAGTGAGTGACAAAAGTGGGAAAGCCCGACAAAGATCATAATCTACATCGACATTGTGAGAGACCCATTTTGCTTGAGCGGGAAACATAAGAATCGAGCAATGCGAACATAGTACACACGGAAACATATATAAAATCTCAGTTTGAAATCGATGACTGAGAGAAATCAAAGAACGAGAAGGTTGCCAAGGGGGGAAAGAGGTTACATCAGACGTCGATTGATTTTGATTTTCAGACGAAAAAGTAGGTGCTTGCGGATGGTCAGCGTTAATATTTATCCGGGCTTGGTGACCCAAGAAAACATCATTACATAAATCATGATAGGAATTATCTTCATCCAAATTAGTTATTGTTAATTGGGTTATTGGAAGGGACATCGTATGTGTTCGATAAAGATCAATATAAGTTTTTTTATATTACACTTAGGTTGACTAAGATTTATTGACAACGATGGAATAGAAGTTTTTCTCTTTTATAACATTTAGAAAAGTTCAAATCTATTGCTCTAAATATAACAAACTAATGATTATAAAATACATAATGGACATCTTATGCAGGGACAATTAAGAATTTTTGTAAATATTTGTATTTTTTTAAAAAGGGGTATTTAAAAAATTTAATAATACCATTTAACGGCATTGTCTATGACGATATATATATAGTATATATATATTATTGTTTATTTATTCGATAAAATGATCAATATTTGATAAAATTGTTAATATTAAAAAGACATATACATATATTCCTGTAATTGTTAACAGATTACAAAATACGGATCCATTATAACAGAAAATTAGAGGGCACACGTCGAATCAATTAATTTGTAGCGACATACATCGTGATTTCGTAATGAGTTTTGGTATCTAGCAGTAACGGTAAATCAAATTGCCTTATACAAATCGATAATACGATACATATTCGAGATAATTAACATTACATCGATCGTAACCACATTCAATTAATCGCTTTAATTATAGTATTCAGATTATGCGATATGAATCGCCCTATCGCATGACGTAATAAATTCGAATCGCGAGATATTCATATAAGGAATGATACATTATTTCATATCGGTAAATCTAGATAATCGGGAAGTTTAAAACAAATCTAAACGATTATATCAACATGCATACGCATATATTAAATGGACAAAATGCGATACATAATGTCACATAAATGGTCCAAAATAAATAAAGTCAATTGTAGTCTATGCGCTAATTGCGCGACAGCATATGTCAGTGGTTCTAATTAGCAACAAATCGAGGTAAGTGTAACAATAATGATACTCAAAGGTAATTTATTAAACAGCAAATAATTTTTATACAGTCGGATTTGCATGTAGTAGAATAACACAAGAATAATATGCGCTTTAAGAAGCTTAACGTTAGTTTTAATAACATGTGAGTACTACACTAAGGGGTTCAGGAATTTAAATAATATTGTTAATAGGTAAATCATAGGTAACATCATATTTAATTACCAGGCGACGATAAAAAGCTCTTTTACAATAAAGTATATATATTATCACGCAGAATACGGTGATTATTTTTTAGTTTTTCTTGGGGTTCTTTTACTTCTTTTTTTTATCTGTTCTTCTTCAACATCCTGTTCACGCAAGTATTCTAAATCATCATCTCCTGAAACATCTTCAGGGCAGACTCTTTCATCTTGAATGTTATCTTCAACGATCGTTTCAAGACAATTCAAGGCTAAATTAGACAATTTATTTTTGCCTTTTTGGATTTGAACTGTTTCAGGATTAATATTAACGGGTGTTATCGAAGTTGGAAAAGGTGTAGTGGAGTTATTGGTAACAGAAGACGAGCTAGTACTTTGTTTAGAAGATCTTGACGTAATTACACAAGACCTTTTCGGCGCCCGTGACGTAGTAGAATTAACATCTTCGGCGATCAGATCAATGTCTGAGCGATTATTTGAAGCAACTGAAGAAGCGCTCACTTGCACATTCTTGATTGTATTGGCATTAGTAGATATAAAGTCAAGATCCGTGAGTTCAACTATAATAAAATCAGGAGTTATACGCCTAACAAAACCAGACACAATAAACGTTCTGCCTATTTTAACACTGTGATTAACACGCAGATAAGAGAATCGCGGAGCATTGGTAGGATAAAATATCCTCAATTTCATATGGACATTTCTGGAATTCGTACTCGAATTATATTGATAACATCCAGCATCAAAATAAGTAGACTCTCCGCAATCCTTTGGTTCATGGGAGACAAGCGCAGGAAACATGCAGTGAGGAGTGCTAAGCGGTATTTCACTGGCTTCAAATTCTTGATCAGGGTCACCAGCCGAAACAACACAAGCGTAAGAAACAGAAACGTATTGCTCAAGATTTTCAACTATAAATTTACCCGCGAACATTACGATATCTCCAATTGAAAATTCAGTGTAAGGTTGATTAAAGGGGTAGAAATACTTCCAACGAACAATCCTAAAATCGTTTTCGGACGTTTGATACTTAGCGAAACCCTGGGTTAGAGAGGTAAAATCCTCCTTTGTGACTATAATAACGATCATGGTAGCATGGGAAGGCATAGTTAATCGAATTAATTGATTTAAATTGTAAGAATATTGAAATTTTTGCGGTAAACGTTTCGCGGTTATATATATATTATTTTGACATGTAATACAGTATAGTAGAAGTAGCAGGTAACACGCTGAACTAATATTGGCAATTATTTATAAGAATAAAGTTGATACCGAAGCATTTCGTGAGATAAAATAGAGTATATCTGAATTTTTTTAGTACTCATTCTAAACACAGAAAAAGGGATGATTAAAATACTAATTGATTCTAAAATTTAAAATTAAAACGAAAAAACATCAAAATAATAAATTAATAATAGAAATTTATATCATCTTCACGGCAATAACGATAGAGGTTAATTTTGGACAATAATGTTAATGTTTAATATCGGTAATAATAAATAGCAAAGAAAACACTACTACATACAAGTACGCTTAGTATATTATATCATTTCACTAAAAACAAGTAACGCGTACGATAAAACAAAAAAAATAAAGGTAACGACTATGAAAAGTTTAAGATATATTTGGATAACACGGGTAGATCATTAATACATATTAAGAAAAATTAAATTAATATATGCAGGTCGATTTTAAGAATGAGTGACGCAAAGCTAAAAATGCAAATCCTATTGGCAAGATCCATCAGGCTTAGCTCTGTGACATTCGAACAGCCAGAATATCAAGTATACCGTAAAGTAACAAATAACGCCCAGAAGTGAAAATACGAATTTTAGGTTAAAATTAGCAAAAACGGTGCGAAAAGTCAAAAAATACCCAAGAACGATATTTTGAAATGATACAGTAAATTAATTTACGTAGGATTAATAATATCGTACGTATGTTAATGTCATAGGCTGAAGTTCGCTTGATTGGCTAATAAATTCAATTTAATTTTATATTATTTATACAGTTTAGAGTACTTTTTAAACATAGTCAAAAATAAGATCTAATTCTCGTTCGTTTAAAAAAATTAGCTTAGTAATAAGTTGATTTTATCGGGTTTTGAGAAGTTATTACTATAATAACTTTTTTAAACGGACGAGAATTAGATCTTATTTTTGGCTATGAAGTCCTACAATTTTAATGAAACCTTTTATACAACTTTTTTTATTTCACTATGATTAGTTTTCGTTTTTTTAAAAAGTACTCTAAACTATATAAATAATGTAAAATTAAATTGAATTTATTAGCCAATCAAACGAACTTCTGCCTATGAATGTTAATGTTATCAAAATGAAACCTGAGCGCTGACGTCGTCTAATAGGGTCATTACACAGAGACTCGATCCATCTATCTTGTTTGCATAGCATAATTCACGTGATCAAAAAAAAAATTATAAATACAACCCGAATACGATAAAAAATTTCGGGGGCCTATGCGCAAATTGATCATCGCATTCAGCACATTCAGCGCCTTCAGCGCCTTCAGCGCCTTCAGCGCATTCAGCGCATATTGAGCACATAAGATAATATAAAATATTTAGACGAAGATCTTCTCCGCTTTAGTCAAAAAGGAAATGTGGCGGATCACGAGTAGATGCGCGACCAGTAAACAACGGTTTTACAAACCAATTCGGATACGATCTACCGAATTTCGGTAAAAAAAGATAAGAGGGTGTTAATTACAATTAATATATTACGATATTGATTATAGCAAAACTTGTATTTCAGCATTGTCTCGATTATATAATATTATTCCTATAAATATTAGTAAATTTAGTATATAATAAAAATAAATATATATTA